AATAGCCAAAATGATATGTAACACGAAATGCTGACGTTATTCACACGGAGTAGTCTGTTGTCAATTGTTTATTATGAGGTTCAGGTTATCTTTAAAAATATCAATACAAAGTACAGATGGAAGTTCAGTGCCATCATTTCTCTACATACAGCTCCGAACAGCTTGTTTTCCTGAAGCCCGACCTAGATGGTTGGCTGAAGCAAAATAACGGGTATATTATTCGACTGATGACTCTTGACTAACAGCAGAATCAAGTGGATCAAATGTGTTCTAAAGCACTACTTCATAATCCACAAATTAGCTACAGTCCTCTTACAACTGAAAGCTCGTACCTTGGAGGGCCTTTCTTAAGCGTTTCGGGGGTGAAAAGATTCATCAGTTTTCACTGTCTAATGAAGCATTAGTAAATTCTCTGTCAACAAATTACCATGCAAATATAATTATTCACAAGATTTATTATTTACGATAGATGTGTAATCAATGAAACAAGTGCTAATGATTTTTTTAATCATGATTATCGTTCCACAGACGTTGATATTTATTCAATCTACATCACTTACATTTGGACTAATCATATGAACCATAAACTTTAGTTACAAGATCAATTTATTCCAATCCATGACGAATATTTTTTCAACCCAAAGTATAATAATGAACTGCTAATAGGAATCTATATCGATTAACATATTGATGTAAACACCAAAAGAGACTGTATACAAGATGTATGACGGCGCGCTATTCAAAAAGGACAGTTGTATTTTTCCTCGCTGAGTAGATTCTATTGTTTTGATCGTTTATACGTATCAAAACTACTGTTTTTCACTTTAATTGAGTTCATTTCAGTTAAAGTATTCGATTAGATTATTTTTGTTTTTGTTTCTAAAGTAGTTTTGTTGGCAGTACTTTTGAGTACTCTGTTGTTTTTTTTTTATAGTATCTGTTAGTACTTTTGGTTCCAACGATCCACAGTTTTCCACTTTTTTTGGTCATAGATTGTTTTTTTGTCCCTGAGTGCCTTTGCATCTAATTCCTTTTTTTAAAAAAAACCCCGTGTTTAAATGACTGGACAGTGCAAAAAAAGTAATTGCCAACGCCCGGGCTGTCGTTATCCTGTTGAAAGCGGCATGCAGTGCGATGAGTGCAAAGGATGGTACCACGAAGTTTGCACAAATTTAACGTCTGCAGCTTTCAAACGGTTCAGTAGGAATGGTTGCGTATGGCTCTGTCAACAGTGCTGTTCGGATGCTAACAGTTTGCTAACCGAGGCCATCTCATTGGTTAGTGCTGCTAAAAAATGTTTTGGTAAGAGTGGTCGCGACACATCATCAAGTACTCGCTCCGTTGACACGCAAATTGGCGTGAGTCAAACTAAAGTGAGTTCGAAAACAGATGACTCGCACCGATCAAAGGAGGGAGAACAATCCCCAAAGAGTTCTGTCCGCACAAAAAACTCAAGGAAAAACGTTTCTTCTGTCCCACGTCCTCAAAATGGTATCCAGAAAGAAACACATAGAAGCCGCAACCGCAAGGCTCGATCAGTTTCCAAAGGGACACCAAACCTGACCTCCCAAGTTTTCGAAAACCCTCCGGAATCCCACAGTATGTTTGACGCGACTGTGGTTACTTCTCCAAGCAACGTTGACGAATGGGTACAGGTTGTGAGGAAGAAACAGAAAAATGATATAAAAGGGAACCCTGCCCCCACAAAAGTAGTCGAAAAACCGAATGCTGATCACAGTAACAGATCAGTCATTTTTCATACGATCAAGGAGAGCGAAAGCTCCGAACCAAAAACTCGTTTAGAGCATGACATTGACCTGATAAAACAGCCACTTAATCAACTCATACCTCAAAATATCTCCGGAGTCACCTTGCTAAAGGTGTATAGACTAGGTAGCTTAGCGAACTTGAAGCCTAATCAATCTAGACTGCTTAAAGTAGTTTTCAAATCTTCGAATGAAAGGGACTTAATTTTACAGAATGGACATAAATTAAAGGGTTCGGGAGTTTTTATCCGAAAGGACTTGCCGTTGGCAGACCGTGTAAAAAGACGGGAAGCCGAAAAAGAACTACAAATGAGGTTAGACGCTGGCGAAAAGGACCTGAAAATTGTAAATTTTCGGGTTGTGAGGCTTCGTCAGAGAATGATGGCGAAGCCACTCAAATAGGCTAAGGATCTGTTACACAAATGCCCGAAGCTTGTTAAATAAGCTATCGGAACTAGGTGAACAGATTGACTCTACAGAGCCAGACATAATCGCAGTCACAGAAACCTGGCTGACACAGTCTATAGATAATATGGAACTCGATTTTGAGGGTTTTACTTTAGTAAGGACCGACAGAATACATAAGCGTAAAGGAGGGGGAGTAGCTCTATTCATTAGGAATGCTATCCCGTTTGTCATCATTGATAGTGTATCCCATGAAAGTGGGACGTGTGAATTGATTAGTTGCCGCTTGAAATTCAAGGGACAAGAGCTGCTAATTGGTTTGGTCTATCGTAGTCCAAGCTGTGAGGTAAATGATGTCCTGTTAAACAGGCTCAAAAATTGGTCGGATGTGGTCGATGTCTAATCCTAGGGGACTTTAATGCACCTACGGTAGACTGGAGAAATCTGCGAACCGAATCATCAGACAATTCCTTCGAGCAGGAACTAGTTGACGCGGTTATAACATGTGCCTTAGTGCAACATGTGAAAGAAGCGACTAGGTACGACCCGGACACTGAATCATCCTTACTAGATCTTATATTAACTCACTATGAGGATGACGTTGCGAACCTCCATTACATGTCACCCTTAGGTAAAAGTGATCATGCAGTTTTAAACTTTGACTTTCATATAACTGTCAATCACGAGCAAGCGTCAACTCAATCCAGACCTAACGTCTGGAAAGCAAGCATACCAGATATCATGCACTCGGCATCACTAGTAGATTGGACAATAGACCCAGCGTCCTCAATTGAAACGGCTTGGAATGCATTCCGAAATCTATATTTAAAAGTTACCGCACCCCACATAACTTGGACTAGACCAAGGGGGCCGAGAAACTCCCCACCATGGTTCAATAAGGAGGTCCGCATCCTTCTCCGTAAGAGAAGAAAAATGTGGGATAGATTTAGGTTACTGGGGTCTGATGAGACAAAATCTCAGTACCGAAAAGCTAGGAATACCTGTGCCTCGACCCTCCGTAAGTCTAGAAAACTGTACGAAGAAAAAATTGTTAAGGAATCCATAGAATGTCCTAAACGCCTGTATTCCTATATAAACCAAAGGACAAAAAGAAGAGGAATTATCCCTGCACTATGAGGAGACAGTACTGCCGCATCATTAGTGGAAGATGACTTTGGTAAGGCTCAAGTGTTCTCAAACTACTTTAGCAACGTATATACCATAGAAGCACCCTTCCCGTCAGCGCATACAAACCCCCCTACACATACACTGGATAGCGTGACCATTAATGAACTCGATGTCTTTGATCTGCTAAATAAGCTTGACATAGGTAAATCCGTGGGGCCCGATGAATTGCATCCTAGGCTACTAAAGGAGTTATCTAACTTCGTTGCGAACCCTTTAAGTATATGCTTTAAGCTATCCGTCACGCAGGGTCGTTTACCAAAAGACTGGAAGAACGCCATAGTAAGTCCTGTCTTCAAAACAGGTACGAAACATAAACCTGAGAATTACCGACCCGTTAGCCTAACTAGTGTGGTTGTAAAAATCTTAGAAAAGATTATTCGGAAAGAGCTGTTTAAATACCTCGATGTAAACCGAATCCTCTCGGAGAAACAGCACGGTTTCAGAATAGGTTATTCTTGTCTCACTAACTTATTAGTCACTCGAGAAAGCTGGTGGGCTTCTAAGGACCAAAAGTTACCTGTAGACGTGGCTTACATTGATTTCAGCAAAGCTTTTGACAAGGTTCCGCACAACCGGCTGTTATATAAGCTAAAAAATGTCGAAATCGGAGGCAATCTATTGACGTGGATAGAAGACTTCCTTGTTGGGCGCCAACAAAGAGTACGGGTAAACTCAAAATTATCTAGCTGGGAAACTGTGCTTAGTCGAGTGCCCCAGGGTACAGTTTTGGTGCCAGTGCTATTCCTCTTGTATGTAAATGACCTTCCTCGCTTACTATCATCATCGGTCTTGCTATATGCTGACGATGTCAAGATATGGAGGACGATACGATGTAATGGTGATAGCTTAGAACTCCAAAATGACCTGAAGAAATTATCCGAATGGTCTGATACATGACAGCTGCCGATAAATACTTCCAAGTGTGTTGTGATGCATATCGGTCATCAAGGTTCAGTAACATACATGATGAATAACACTGAGCTACCTGCTGTCCAGACACATAATGACTTAGGAGTCATCGTTAGCCAAGATCTGAAGACTACTGCACACTGCCGTACAACAGCCGCCAAAGCTTTTAGAACTTTATGGTCAATACATAGGGCTTTTATTCATGTCGACGCTAAAATATTTTTGACTTTGTATACAGTGTTTGTGCGTCCCAAACTTGAGTACTGCATACAAGCGGCTAGCCCCTGCTTAAAAAAAGACAGTGAGCTTTTAGAAAAGGTCCAGAGAACAGCAACTAAGCTGATTCCCGTAATAGCGAAGCTTCCGTATGATGCTCGACTGGCCAAGCTAAACCTATTCCCTTTGTCATATCGTAGAACTAGAGGCGACTTGATTACAGTTTTCAAATTGCTTAGTGATAAATTTGCACCTGATATGCCCTCATTCTTCCTGTCTTCCAAAACAGAGAATTTACGAGGACACTCCAAAAAAGTTCACAAGCCCAGAACAAATTACTTGTCAGCTGATTATCGACTTTCCCACCGAATCATCAACGAGTGGAATTCATTACCTCAACACGTGGTTGAAGCTCCATCCGTAGATTCTTTCCAAAGAAAGTTGGATCAACTGAGAGAACACAATTGCCAGGAATAACACAGGCCATCAAGCCTCCTGTCCTTTCCAAACTGAAACTGATGTTACATAACTGCGGTACGTTCGAAGTTTGCGTTACGATAACACTATCTAATATATATTGATTGTATATCGTTGAGTCCTAGTTTATAACTCATACATAGCTTTAGAATTCATACTTTAAGCAATATGGGTCGACTGTCAAAAAAACGAGCACGGAAAAGTCCTAACTCTTCAGATATTAACAATTCTGTTGTTACCTATTCTTCTTGCTCCGCTACTCCTTTTGTATCTGATAATGTTGGGACTGGTCTTACACCACACGTGCTGCTGGATGACTGTGTTTCTAATTTAGTAATGAGTTCCACCTCAAGATCAAAAAGGATTGATGATATGAAGAGTGAATTAAACACTCTATTTAAGCAACTAAGCGACATGCGTTCTAAAGTCGAGTCACTTTCTAGCTCTTTATCAAAGCATGGTGATCTTAAGCAAGAAATAAAGACAATATCACCCTTAAAAGTGCTTTTGTCAAAAGACATCGTTCCTGCGGAACTTGATGACATTATGAAAGCAGAATCTGTTATCGATTTTATCGCTAGTGAAGTTACCAAGCGAATAGTCTCTCGTAATAACGTGATTGTCTATAATATACCTGACAAAGTCCCCATTAAAACTGTAAGGAATTCGATATTAAAAGCATCTAACCTTCAAGACAGTCCATGCCAATGCATCCGACTTACTAAGAAGCACCAGAAATACTCGCGCCCGGTCTTGTTCAGGTTTAATTCTCATATATTAGCTGAACAGTTAAAAGAATCTGAGCGGCTGATATGCGCGCTTACGAAGTTTAGAAACGCTCGCATAGTCTCAGATAAGACCACCAATCAAAGACTTACACAAAAGCGTACCGTGAACGAAAATAAAGATGTTGAGATCATAAAAAATCACGATGCATCAGCTGCTGGATCCACTGATACTGATACCCTACCTCATGTTCTCCAGTACTCTGATCTGCCAACGAAGAGTGCTAACTTACCTATTATGCCTGTAGTGACATCTGATAAGCAATGTACATCTACTGATTACACTAATCCGATAGTATCCAATTTACCATTAGAAGCCCATAAGCAAATACCTAGTCCTAATGCGATAGCTCTTAAAAACACTGTCAAGATTAAAAAGTCTATGCCACGTAAGAAGAATGTTTGTACAGAACCTTCTGGTTCTAGACCCAATAATAAAAGTATTACGATGGCCCTACTCAATACAAATAAGACTATACTTCCCGACACCATGCTTTACCCAACGCATCGTAGGGGAGGATATAAGGGCAGACCTGGTTCAAATGTCTCACAAGACGGCCACTTCAATCATTATGTAAGTAGGCCTAATACTGAACAGATCACAGTAAACCAACGAGCCTCACGAGAACCCTCAAACGCTTTAAATGATAAACCTGTAAGACGTAACCTCTCTCAACACTTTCCCATTAGGCAAGATGGATTACTAGGTTACCCAACATCAAACTTTTTAAATAATATACCAGTAACACGTAACTTTTCTCAGCACTTTCCGATTGGGCAAGATGGATTACTGGGTTACTCACCATCAACCCAACCTTCTCTTAACTGTCCGCCTAGTTAAGTTCAACAAATTAATCCGCTTTATCAAAATAATGATATCTAGTCTTAGTGCTATATCTGGACATTTCTAAGGCCTTTGACATGGTTAACCACCAACTTCTTATAGGCAAACTTGCATCTTATGGGGTTCAAAATCCTTTGCTAGATTGGATTCATTCATTTCTCAGCAATCGACATCAAATAGTTAAAATTAACTCTTCATTGTCTAACGCTGTCCCCGTTAGAAGTGGTGTAATACAAGGTAGTGTCTTAGGCCCTTTGCTCTATTTAGTGTTTATCAATGACCTTTGTGAAAATTTTTGTGTAGGTAAGCCCCTTCTATATGCAGATGATCTTAAACTAGTATATTCATTTTCTCCACATGAGCTGGAAAATATGCAAACTTGCATTAACTTGGAGCTTAACAAGGTAGCACAGTGGTGCTTAAAATGGCAACTGGAACTTAATACGGCTAAATGTGGATGGATATGCTTCGGCGATACATCACTTAACCTAGACCTTACCATAAATGGAGAAATGTTATCTAGGTTACATACAGTAGTAGACTTCGGACTTAGATACTCCCAAGACTTATCGCTTACAGAACAGATATCGAAACAGACCTCCAAGTCACAACGACTATTAGGTTACATAATTCGAAACCTTCATAACAATGAATCACGAATTTTAATGTACAAAGTTTGTGTTCAAACTAAATCTTATTTTTTTCTTCAAACTACTTAATAAATTATCCTTTACATCCAATCATGCAATTCAATACGCAGAAACTCCTCATTATGAAACCCGTAATTCCTTGGCACTTGTGAAACAAACTTATTCTAAATCATCTTTTTATATGAATTACTTTGCCTGTAAGTTTTCTAGACTCTGGAATAACCTACCAGAACATATCCGTACGATAAAATCACTCCCATTATTTGTACGTTGCATCGATGCATATTGCTCCTCCGAAAATGCATTGAATGCTCTAGCACCCGCAAGTGTATCTCACTCCACAAGTGTTATTATAGGAAGTTTAAATGTTTAGGCATTTTTATTAGTGCATTCTCTGGATAAAACCACCAACTTGCTGTCACTTTATGTTAATACCGTCCCCAGCTAGTTTAACTAATTTGAATATCATCCACAGTATATCACTGTGTCACATGACATACGCATTTTGATAGATCTGATTGACATATTTCGGTAATTACTGCTTTGTTGTTCCGTGCTCTCTGTTTTCGTTTTAATTTCTCTAGTTGTAGATATTTATCATTAAATCGATCTGGCACACGAAATGACCTTAATTACACCGTTCATAAATCAACAGGCTGTCCAGTTAAGAAATATTACATGTTCCCGGCTGACGCATTGGATCACTGTAATACCTAAACATTTACTGAACTAGTAAACTTAAAACTCATATCACATGTTTGTTCTGTACATATAATGATATTATTTATATCAAATTGATCATGCCTGTAAACTGACGTGAATTCTGTAATTATCATTTTTTCAGAATATAAATTATTATTATTATTATTATTATATATTGACAATAGTTTCTGGTTGTACCACACATACATTTCAATATCAATGATGCACTAAAAAAATGAAAAAACACTGAATTCGTTCACCAATGTCCGTCACCAAACGTATTACTATGAAGACGTGTGTATTTTGGTAGGATTGTTTAATTCTGGGCAAAGCTGTTGAGTGGACATAACCATTAAAATCATTCATCTAAACTACTGGTTCTTATTACCATTTCAAAATTTGTAGTTATATTTGATTAGCGAATGAGATAATTTTTTCAACGCATACACCAAGATGGATTGCATCGAATAAAATTTTAAGACCACAAAGCATTCCAACACTACCACTTTTATTATTCTACATATGTCATATAACCCAAAGTAGCCGGATAAGTAAGAATTGACAATCCGACTGATGATATGAGCCATTTCATGCCGATAGATGAGTGAAATCTTTGTTTAAAAATGTCACAGTGATTCGTGCAGTCCAAGATGAATTCATAGTTGTTAATTTCTAATGAATGTCTAGCAATACTGATCGTTTTGTGCGATATAATATGGTGAATACTCATTAGTGTCATCGTCAACTTATCCACTACATGAGGAATTACCACATGCCTGCTAGAAAAAACTCAGGGGTGTTAGTCGAATCAAACACTTTATTCTTTGATGTTATAAGTTTATCTTTTGGAATATTACTAGCTATATTTCCATTAAACTGTGCTTTCAAGAAAAGATGTTTCTCACTGATCATCAGTTTTGCTATTTCTTTGTTCATTGTATGCTATTGAGCTGATAGTTCTTCTGATCCAATCTTCCGATCAATGGTAATGAAAGCGTCATTAGTGTTACATCACCTAAGATCAAGCTTTTTAATACGTCCATTAGGTGATCAACGATCAGAATTCCAGAGAAAAAATTGATGTGAGCAGTTGAAAAAAGAAGCCACGACAAACAACGGAACTAATTTTGCGGACACTACATCACTTAACTCAAAGTTTCTGAATTACTGACACTGAGTTTTGTCCTTGATTTATTCTATAAATCATAAGCTTTTCTTTGATTTATGACAGAAAACCATTGTCTGTTCTGCCCCACAACCAATTTAATTTAAATGTAATCTTTGGTGCTTCAGTGTTCTACATCCATGCCCAGTTTGTACGTTGTTGTATTTCCCTAACTGTTTGTGTGTTGTGGCTATGTTATTCACTTATTTATTCGTGCATCGTTTTACAATAATCTGAATCGATAGTACAAGGATCAGGAATTCATTCGAGGTTCTTCCAGTTGACTCGCCTTCTCTCTCCTTATGTCGGTCAATTAGGTTGTAGGATTGTTTTTTTATCTCTACCCAAGGTCTTTAGTCTTGATTCAGACTTATGCACATGTATCCTCATGGTTAAACTTTAACATTTACCCGGACACGATCACTCCAGTAGACAGTTCAAAAACATTCTGCTATTTCACCAATGTTTCTGTGATATGTGTCACTGAACTCAAAATAAATGTTTAATGGACACTTCGAAAGTAACTCTTTGTGAATAATGTCAGATATTTGACTATTAATTGGTATTTAAAGTGGTCTTGTAACACGATGTTAGTTGTCTCACTTGGCATACAAAGAAGTAATGACTGTGACGACACTGGTTTCTATTAAAATCCGTATTTTGAAGAATTTTCACCAAAAAAACTCCTAAACCATCGTCTTGATGACCGCCTACAAAACATTCCCAATGGTTTATTAATCTAGGAGGGGAAAAACTGAGTGTTGAATACAATTTATCTTTGAGAATCACAAAGTCACCAGCACACAAATCAAAATCACGCCAAATTGCTACTGAGGGCAAGCCGTCGAATGCATTGAAGAGTAGCCAGTCGAACTTATTGATAAGATTCAAGCACATATATGAAGAAAACACAATGGTTAATTGAGCGACTTCAGCAAATAGCTAACGTGTACAATATGTGTACATGCTACAACACGTTATCAAGCGTACAGACACGACAATAATGATACATTAATATACAAGTTTTTGCTTCTCGAATAATAATGTCTGTTAAGTAGGCTAACTGAAGGGTTTGACGGGATTAGACGTGAACAGAGTTAAGAGTAGATGAGTAGCCGTTACATGTTCAACTTTGGAAAAGAAATCGAAGGCGTCTTAAGATGTTTTAAGAAAACGTAATTTGTGTAGGTGATTCAGCATTCAAACTAACCATCTTATAGTCTCATGATGTAAAGAATTGTACATGTTTGAAACTGGACGAAGAACTGACTTGTGGACGTTTTTATGTCGAGATGTGTTCAATCTTATGGGTTTAGATGAAACATGAATAGCAGGAGTAATTAAGACTTAAGGTCATTTCTTTTCCATAGAATTAGTCGATGGATTCTCTGCTTTCACACAAATAAACTCAAAGTTGCCAGCATCCAAACCGAGGTCGTTTAATTTATATAATCTGTTCTTACGGAAAGAACTAGCCCTCTTCCTTAATATAACTCGTTTATGGGCAAAATGTTACCCTTTTCTAAGCTTCAGTAAGCCGACTCATTCATGTTTGGCAAGAAAAATATTACAAAACATCATAAAAACATATTGATCGGCATCGTACTCCCTCAAAATTATATACAGAGAACCGATATGAATTTACTTTGTGATCACAAAGTAACTCAAGTTATTATAGAAGAGACGCTGATCATTCATGTCAATTGTTTTTAACATATAGAGCAGTCGTATGTAATTAATAAAATATTCAATAAAGGATTACAGAATACTCACTTCTAATTTGGATTCAGTTTAACCGTAACTGCTGTGATTTGTACATGCTAGGAAACTTACTGTTAAATTGAAGAAATCATCAGTTTACTATCAGGGTTTAATGATGGTCATCGAAGGCATTTATAGAAGCAATAACTATATACGTCAGTCAAAAAAACCACGAAACAAATTGCACTTCATCATTTTAAATAAGTGCGAATCATCTCAACAATTAGTTGTTTAATCTCGGTAGGTTCCTAGGAATTATAGCTTACTTTTGACATTTTTAACCTAATGTCCTTGATGTGTTATTTGACTGATTTCAATCTAATCATTAAACAAATATGATGAACAAGTCGCAATGAGGTCGGAAGTACTCCCATTGTACTCGCTTGGGTTAATGGTCAGATTTTAATTTGATCGATAGAATTCATCAACTCTAAGGACTGAAAGGACAGTAAACTGAATAGTGTTTTGTGATTGGTCGATGTGAACATCTCAGTTTTTCTGGTGTTTTCCCCTTATATGTTCCAGTAATGTAAACATTCCAAGAATTGCGAAAAAATTATCGTCATTATTTTCGAGTGTTCTTATCTTCGATATTTTTGATCATAACAAATGCGATCAACACTCATGCGTGACATACGTGCGTCCTAATCGAAATGCCCGACATCGTCAATCCTCACGAGAATTTTCGAAAAATCTGAAAGTGATTAGCAGTAAAACTCAGAATACGTGTTCACGTCATATCTAAACCCCCGCTGAGCAAATCAATTTCTCGTCGGACTCAGTAATTTAATGGATTTCATGTCTGATGTTTGTAGTGGTAGGTGTTGTGTTCCAGTCTCTGTGTAAACACCAAAAGCTAGATGCGAGTACAGCCAGCATATGTCTCAATGATATGACGTAATAACAAGGTTCAATCAAATCTTGATTCACTATAATGCTTGTTCAACATTACTTTCGTTTCATCTAATTCAAAATAATGATTATTTAGTGTAATATTTATTACGCTTACAGGTGTAGCGTGGTGTCGAGTTGAGCTGAACTATGAAAACCGCTACCAGACTACTTGCCAATTAACCAATAAGATTCCGAAAGGCCAAAATATCAGAAGGCAGATGATTGTAGTAGTCGTATATATTTGTTGGCGATCTCGTGGTATCGAAAGAATACCGAGATCGTGCCAAAGGAGTACAGTTGCGATCGGCAAGATAAGATACGTGCGTAGTCCAAAAACCGCGTAAAAGCAATGGAATACAATGGAAGCCCAAAATGGCTGTTATTAGCACAGTTAAACAAACGAGCACAGTAAAACAGTCACTGGTACAATTGGTTATAATAATAATTGTTTTCATCGAACCAATCGTGTTCTGTTGACAAAAGTAGGTCACTACACAGGTGTGCCACCTATCTGAGCGTGATGTGTGTTCAAGAAACGATATTCTTGTGTCAAACAAACGTATACTATGCTGAGCGTAAGGTGGTGTATGTGATTTGTTATAAATCCGGGTATTTTTAATAAATGTGGTTTTGTTCAGATTATTAATCAAAGAGGGTGTACAATCAATATACAATGAGTGTTTCCTTGTTCTTTTAAGTATGAGTAAAAAGAAACGAGAATTGTTAATTAAGAACAAAAGTTGCTTCTAAATACCAATTTCATAACAGTCAAGTTATGCACATATGTAAGGAATCATCGTTAAGAAACGCTCGATAATTCCGTTTTCCGGTGCGTTAATTGCATCCTGTCAAATGAAAAATACATGCTTACTGCAATATTTGCCAATCAATACCTGAATTGTGATAGCTGACACATATTGTATTCACCGTATAATCTTCAACCAATCACAAACACACATTTGTGTCTGGATGTTTGGACAGTTTGGTGCATTATAAACAGTTTGTGTATATAAAATATACTGCGGTGGTTGACATTCAAGTCTGTGGTTAACAAAAAAGATAGTCAACAATGCCTTCAGGTGGTATGCAAAAATGCAGTCTGAAAATAAGCCGTGTCAAAATATTTATCGCAATATTGGTGACATTCATTACAATGCTTCACGTTGTCGACTCAGGTGCATATGGTCCTTGTTTAAAAGGTAAGTGTGATATTTTGCTTCCTATTCAGATCAAACCCTATCTGAATTAATAGTACTAACGAAACCAATTTTTTTCTTCTTCTTTCAGCAACAAAAGTGAGTAATGAAACAGGAAGTAATTCAAAAATAATAAATGACACATGTACAAC